CTCCGGTACCCAGGTTTTCGTCTTTATGCTGATGCTTTGCTTAAGTGGGCCGAGAGACAGGGCAACCATGAATCATGGATGTTGTGTCAAGGATCTGTGCTGAAAGCAACCTTTATGTTTGCTTGAACATCATGAGCAGGCACGAATAAATCGGACAGAAAGGCTGCGAGTGCATGCGCACGCATAAAGAAGCAAGGAATGGCTTTGGACAAACTGCTTTGTCAACGATGCCGGTGGTCGCTAGGAGCCGACATACAGTAGTGATGGCGAAGTGGGCCTACTGAAGCTCACGAAAACAAACAACTTTGCACGGCATGGCATTTTACTGCAGCATTCTCGTGACCACCCACGCAGATTTCGTAGCAAGGTGGATGGTTACTATTTTTAGCTGGCTGCCGTTATAGTTTACAAACACGCACGTTCATTGAACGTCCACTTGTTGATACACAACAATCTCAGTCTTGTTGGTGGATTTTGCAGTCTGGGACACGGACTAATCAATGAGTTCATTGCAAAATCTTCTGTCTTCGCAACACCGCACAATGATTCATCCGTATCTGTCAAAATAGCTGTCAATAGCAACAATGGTAGCAGTTCGTGACCCGCTATGATACGTGTAGGATTAGGCAATTTTACTGGAGGTATAGTCTTCATCTCCGTTTCTTTTGTCTAAACTGCTACATAATCTGTTCTTCATGTCGAATTCAAACAAATCGAGCATTACGTCTAGCACGTAGATCCTGCTGCTGTAGTTCTTGCCCTTACTAACCGGATTAACATTTTGTACATCCCGGTTTCGTATCATTTCAGAAGCAAGATTTACTGTGTCAACTACTGTTGGGATTTTTCATTAGAGTACTTCGTATGTTGTTCAGAAACTTTGCGTAATAATACCCAAGCCTTTTATACAAAGTAAGAGTTCTACTTGATGAGTGCAGTGTTTTTGCATTTTGATAGGTATAAACCTACCAATCAGTACTTGTTGAATATTCACACCTGTGCTTATGAGACCTCTTGGTAGGATGATGGTTAATCAAGTAGCACATTTACTTGTTTCTAGCCTATTGAGAATGGACTGTTGTCGCTGGTGCTCCAAGTCAAACATTAATACAACATGCCGTGGCTGCGCATTACACTGTAGGTTCTATGTTAGGTTTTGCTAGTCGACGTTGCCAGCTGTTCTTATTTTTCAGGTCCATTTCATTTCGACATGTTTTGTCTGAGTTTCGTTCGTTTTAATTGTGTGCACAATACAAGTCTTCCGCATTTATTGGTCGGGCTGGGATTCGTAGACTTTTCAAACTCGTTCTCGAAGTTTTGTACCTACCAAACGATGACCATTTGACAATGATGTATGCCAGAATTCTGGTGCAAATGCTAGCCTTGTGAGAAAGGGCTCTTTATTATAAGCAAATTAACGCCACTCCAAAGATGCATAAACACAACAACTTAAGCCCCCGATGCAAACACCAAGAAAGATATGACATGAGTAAATTCCTTGCACTTCTGTCTTCGGAAGTGTGTGCCAAAACCAGCATAGGCATGTTCGTGCAGCAGTAGTTTCCTATAGTAAAGTCTCGAACCGTAGACACGAAGTATAGCTCTGTTCGTGATAAGCAGAAAAACTACTAAACTGGTGTTCGCACAGTAACGTCTTCANNCTTCAAGCAGAGATTATTTCCTAGTTTCGGTTTGGGCAAACTTCTGAGTTTTGTCAAGGATG